TGTAACATTGGGATGAGCTTATATCTTTAAAAATATAAATAATAAGGAAATGATCTAGTATCTTGTAAAATATTGACATTTTTAAAGATATAAGCTCATCCCGACGTTACACTCATCAACAGCTTTCATTTGAGTACCCACATGAATTTTTTATATATTTTTCATATATACATATATATAAATATATAAAATATATGAAAAATTGATGTGGGTACTCAAATGAAAGGTCTTGACGAGAGTAACATCAGGATGAGCTTATATCTTTAAAAATGTTAATATTTGACAAGATACATGATCATTTATTAATTACGTATCTAGAGATAGAGCATTTTCGAAATTTTGTAAATTGACCTAAAACAAGACTTACCTATAAAAATCAAATTTTTTTCATTCAATAAGAATCTAATTAAATATTTTTTTACTTAAAAATGAACCTAATACTAAACGACAATAATTATTTTTTTAGTTTGGAGTATCCGTGCTAGCCTCGCTATTGGAAAGAGCAGAAACTTTGTATCCTAACGAAGACAACGCATCATGTAGCGAATGGTCATCATTTATCGTAACACTAGCAGACACTATTGGATCATCACCACCAAGTATCGCACCCTGTCAACCGATTCCTGCAAACACACTCAACGAGCACTTGCAAAGAATTCGTGGTCTTACAATTGAAAGGTATGCGCCATTAGAATCTTTATTAACAGATGCTAATCTATCTCGATAGACTGATCTTATTAAACCTGTCGGTTAATATTTAACTTTAATCATTATTTTTTTTTTCTTGTCTACCCTCGCAATACATTTAATTTCTCACTCAAAAAGTTTATTATTATTTTTTCATTTATTAATTTACAATAAAAGCGTTCTTCCATCCATGGGATGTAAATAGTAATTGTGATTTGAAAAAATATAAACCATGACTTTTTTGGTTGAACAATTGTAAGTTTGAAATTTTTTTTTGTCATTCAAGTAATTAAAAAACGAAAAATTATGCACGCTAGTCGAGTCGTATTATGATTCATATTTACAGATCAATTATTTAATTAAAAATTTAAAATGTCATTTAATAATATAGAATTATTTATATCAATTTAAAAAAAAAAAAGAAAAATGTAATAAGAAATAAAAGTTGAAAATAAATTTTTTTTAATTCAATAAATAAATTCATAATTCGATTCGACTGCATTGAAATTAAAGTACGGAAAAAGTATAATTTACTTCAAAAATAATTTTTTTCATTAATTATAAATATATTAATTATGTAATAAATATTTTTTTCGTCTTACGAAAAATTCCTAGCGCACATATTATTTCATTCATTTATATTTTTCATGAATAAATTATTAATTATTATTATTATCATAGATGTAAATATATATAGACCTATACATATTTTTATTTTAATTATAAATAAACGTAATAAACTAATCCATATTATTTACTTCAGATGCTTAAATAATAATTAGAATTTATAATTTAAATTTATGAAAATAAAAAAAAAAATTATATTACATTATATTATAAACGTTGATCTTGTATATAGCATCGATTTGTTGTAAAAATATTACATTCATGCATTGAATGTCTAAAAAATTGTACTAAATTTTTTGAGCATGGATGCATGTGTTAAATATCTGGTTAATTATATTTGTTGATTTTTTTGACAAGATCAAATAATTATTGCGGCTTACAAAAAATTTTTATTTTGCTACAATAAATCACTGTTTGGCTGTAAATGTTAATAAATTAATTGATTATTTTTTTTTTTCATAAATTATTTACATAAATAAATTGTATTTACTGTAACTTCAATTCAACGACGATCTCCATGCCATTGAATTGACGATTTAATTCAATAAATGAATATTAATATTTAATTTAATTATTTCAAATAAAATAATAATTTATAATTATTAAATTTCAGCAATTGAAATATTATTAAATGTCATATTAAAAATAATCTGTTTAGATAATATGGTATTGGAAAATAATATTTTGATTGGTAAAATTTAATAAATTGTAATTAAAATTGATTTTTTTTTTTCAAGGTATTTATACATAAAAATTAAATAATTATTGTTGAAAATAATTATGTTCAGTTAGATAATTTTTTTTAAATTTAAATCCTAAATTAATATTCATTTATTGTTCGCGTTTATTCACTGACATATCATTTGAATAATTTTTGTAACAAAAAAAAAAAAATAAAATGAAAAAAAAAATAAAAAAAAAAGTAAAATATAAAAAATATAAAAAAAAAGTAATTATGCACGGAAAGAAGAAGATGACATTGGATATCGTCTCAGATTATACTCAGTGATATCTCTAGCATTTTTTTTTCTAGCGCATGTATTTTAGATATTAGGATATTTAAATATTGTTTTAAATACTATGTAAAATTTTTTTACACCAAAGATATTACTGAGTATAATCTGAAATGATATTCAGTGTCATTTTTTTTTTTTGTGTGTGAGGAGCGATTTTAAATACTCTGAAGTGTAAATATTTATAAATTTACTTGTTGCATGGAACAAAAATAATCGTCTGTATCGTTATTATTACAATAATAATAATTAATTATAAAGAGTGAGTAATATGCTGATTTTTTTAGAAAACTATTTACTCGATAAGCCCACCGAGGTTGCGCTATATTCTTCTTAAAAATGTAACCGGGCACGAAATAATAAAATTTAAAAAGCGTGGTCATTTATTTTGTTAATTAAACGCTTTAATTAATCAACAAGTGTATTGTTTAAAATAAAAAATTTTTAAATGTGTTTATTATATAATATTGTTTAAATAGCAGGCATAAATGTATAATTGTAAGATTTAAGCGTGCGATAAGACGAAAATAAAATACTTATAATAATAATAAATAAAATAATTTATAATGAATTAAAACCTGCCTTAACTCAACCTATTAGAAATATGTTTTAAAAAAATAGGTCGTTAGGCATTGGTTAATTTTCATACAAATACTTACATAAATGCATAATAGTTTAATAGATATTAAATATAAATTTAATATTAAATTAAAATTTAAAAATCTTAATAACTTTTTCACTAAGATTGTTATTGAATAATAAAAAAAATGGTTAAAAATAAATTATTGAAAGGAAAAAAAAAAAAATAATTAAAAAAAATGAAAAATAAAAAAAAATATTAGCAGGAAAATTATGAAAGTGCTTTTATTAATATTATCATTTATTTAATGGATAATGAGGGAAACAATTTATTTTATAATTATAATTTTAATGTCAATACTTTTACTGTAATGTAAAGTAAAAATTACACAGAGAAATAATAATAATAATAATAACAATAAATATTACTCAGAAGTAATAAAAAAAAAAATTTTTGTATAATTGTTGGCTGTATCATAAATATTTTGTGAGTTTAAAAGACAATTACAGATTTAATTTAATGTAATTAATTAATTAAAATTTATAAATATTAATGTTTAAAAACAAATTGATGCTAAATAATGATAATAAATATTTCAGATATATATGCTTAACATTTATTAAGTAACACTATTATATATTTTTGTATAGCAATTATGTATTATGTTTATTTTAATAATTAATAATATACATATATATGTCACTGATTTATAATTATTTGGATTATTGTTATTATTTTATATTTTTCTTTTAATAAGTTTGTACGATTTTATGGTGAAAAAAATAATTATACTTTTTCCGTAACCATTTTTTAATGAATGAGTAAATAAAGTGATAGCGTTATAAAAAATAATAATTATAATTATAATGATCCTAATTGATAAAAAAAAAGGACTGTAAATTCTTAAAACGCTGCCAGTTAATAAAAAATAAATAGCAGTATCGTCGTTTAAATGTGTATGTACAGAATTGATCGAATTTTCAAATCAAAGTCGCAAATAAAAACTTTTGCATCATAGATTATATCATTCGATTTTTTCTAATTGCATTTATTTTTCCCTTATCACAATAATTATTAATAAATAAACAATTATATTAAATTTGTTATTTTATTTAAGTAAGTAATTTAGAGAGTTTTATATTTTTATTTATTTTTGTAATTTCCCAATTATTTTACTATATAAAAAAATTTCTTTACACTTTTTATTAAAATAATAAAAAGTAGTTTTTTATTTTTTAATAATTTTAAACGTAAAAATTTGACATTTTTAATTTTATTAATTAAATTAACTCTAAAAGATTATTTAAAAAAAATTGCATTTTTAATTTTTTTAAATTTCTACATGTCAATTTTTCTTGTCATATTTATTAACAAAAGTTCTATAAATTATTAAATATCTGCTAAATTAATTTTCATCAAAAATTAAAAAATGTCGGCTAACTTGGGTATATTTTGAAAATGATTAGACACTATTTCAAATAATAGCGGTTGACAAGTTTTGCCGGTAGAGGCGCGCGCATCTTAACTAAAATGGCTACTGCGCAGTCGTCAGTAGTTGTAAGGGAAATTTTGTCTTTTGACTTTTAATGAGTTTTATAATTAATATCAAAATGATTAAACGTAATAATTAGGTAAAATGTATTATTTTTTGTAATTATAAACATTGAAATTATAAAATTCGGGATTTGTTTTCTTAAAAAATGTAAAAAATCAAAAAGAAAATTTGAGTGTTAGCCGGTAGACAATGAATGTGTTTTTATAAATGGACCGCTTGTGCAATTTCGCTAATTTAAGAAATCTTTTAACTATAAAATTGATCATTTTTTAATTTTTTTTTTTAACAAACAAATTTTTTATTATTTAAAAAAAAAAATTGAATTTTTAATTTCTACATGTCAATTTTTTTGCCATAATTTAATTGTTACAAGAATTATTAAATATCTGCTGAATTAATTTCAATTTAAAATTTGGAATTTAATTTTTTTTTACAACAATTTAATTGTAATTTATTTGATAAAAAAAAAAATTAAAAAATAGTCAGATGATTGATATCAGTGTTTTTAATAAGAGTGAACGTAAATTATAGATAAAAAAATTGAAATTTTTTGTGTATTTCAACAAGTGTGTTTTATTAAGAGTGTTACAAGAAAATTTTACCCGGGACTTAAAAGACCTTTGGTTTGTTTGAATAATGATGCGAGTTATGAATCTACTAAATGTAAGTTTATTTTATTATTATTAATATAATGATATTTGGAAAATTTGAAACTTTAAATTAGGACTATACAATTTGGTCGTTTAGGCCAGAAAATTCAACTAAGTTATTAAGATAACTAATAATTAATTAGTGTTATTTGTGTAAACATCCTAGCCGGTTTACCGAGACATTATATTTCTCAACAGCTGGCTGTATTGAATATTTTTTAAAAGATTTTCTGACTGGCGATTCATCAAATCCTGAATGATATCATTTTTAAATATATCAGATATCGGTAGTTGAATTCTGAACCCCGTGAAAAAATCAACTCCTTCAGCTGGAATTAATAAGTATATAGATAGATTAAACAATTTAAAAAATTTATGAGTATTATTAACAAACGTGAATTTGATACTCACTTTTTCCCACTGCTTAATTCCGTCAATGAAACGATTCAAACGGAAAATCAACTTTGGAATCATTCTTTCGCTGTCTGTGAACCTGAATCAAGTAAATTGAGAAGATTATATTTTTAATAATAAAAATCTGAAAAGATAAATAAATTTTCTAGATTAAATAAATTTTTTTCTTTAACTTAATAACAATCACTTTTCGAGTATCATCGAATAATTTTCTATAAAGTAGTCTAATATAAATTCAATGTTGCTAGAAAACTTGTGGTCCAACATAATAGAATCAAGAAATTTTAAAAATTGATCCGAAGAAGTTATCTGATCACTATTCATTATTTTAGGAAAATATTCTTTAACGAGATTGTGATTTTTTATGCAATGTAAATACATATATTTATCCAAAGTATTATTCCTAAACAATAAAAATTCTGGGGAGAAGAAATCGTTAGTTTCTCTCTCACTAAAATCTCTCATTACAGTGCATAGTACCCAAGAGTAATATTTAACAAAATATCTAAAAAATAATTATTAATTAATCTTCAAATTTAATATAATATTAATATTCAAATTTAGAATAATATTATTAATAATAAGACTCACTGTTCCTCTTTTCGATTTTCTAAGACTCTTTTATAAATATCGCCTGCAATTGTTTTACATTTTTCGTCATTTTAATTAATTGGACAGTATATCCGTAAAAAATTCAATCTTAGAGAAGCCGTGTAATAAAAATATTCACTATTTTCATACTTATAATTGAGAAATTTAATAATCGGACTCAAAATTGTACTTATAAAACTATTGAGTATTCCTCTATTGATATTCATTAAATTTAGAATAGTATTTAGCGGTCTGATCGCTTTCATCAATGGTAAATGATCTTTTTCTCGTCTAAGGTACCATAGTAAATTTAATAATTTATCAAGATAACCATCATTTTTACGATAGAGCTCTTCAATTTCAGTGATAATCACTGCCCGATTTATCGGATGAATTTTGTGGTAATTTTCTAAATTAAGATAATTGATAATAAAATCCCAATTTCTATCATCGTAGAAAACTCTGTAGTAACCTAAAATTTTACTCTAGTTATTTAGTTTTTAAGAAATTAGATTGGTTTATACCTACCCAATTGTTGAATATTAAAAATAATCCATTCGTTAGAACCGAGACCAGGTGGATAAAACGTCATTTCGTTCTCATGCACCAACAAAATAGAATTGTTTAGTGAAAAATTAGGTTTTAATTGAATTGCATAATTTAAAGGTATAATCCAGGCACAATTCGACTTATTAATTGGATTAACTCAAGTAATTCTTACAGATCCTGTCTGATAGTTTCTTGTGACATTAATAATAGGATAGCCAGATTGCTTGATTCAACAATTCACCGTTGCTTTTACATTTAATTAAAGACATCCTGGAATTATTCTTGCGCGCATTTTCTAAACTTGTCCATAAATCTTCCAAAGTTGTCGTTTTAAACAAACTAAAAAATAAAATTCTTTCATTTTTAAATTCAGAAAATTTAGTGTTAGTTGAAAAAATAATCATCTTCAAATAAAACATTCTAATGCAGCTCTAAAAAAATTAAGTTTACTTTTTGCTGAGGTATTGCCTCAGTAAGCCATTTTGATAAAATTCTGGTTTAAAAACTACATATTCCAACATTTGAATTATTGAAGCGCCTCTCACATATTGTTTCACATTTTCGCTAACATATGTTTGGTTCCCAATAGATAACAGCGATATTGATGACGGTTTTTTGAATTCTGGATCGAGGAGATAGTTGTAAAGTTCTAAAGTTTGCATTTCCCTTCTACGTAATTTTGGATGGATCTAAAAAACAGATGACTATAGTCATAATTTAAAGTTTAATTTATCTAAAACCATCTATTAGACTCCAAAATCTACAAACTAATTTTGTATTTACTTGATCATGTATCTTAGCAGCAAGATTATGACCAATCCCATTATACAACCAGAAATAATTAGAATCATTTGGCGTAACTAAATCTGTAAACCATTGAAGAGTAATGGCTGTTATGGCTTTTAAGTCTCCAAATTCTTGGTTTCGGTAAATAACAAGCGGAGATTTCGATGTTGTTAAATATTCATATGATCTATTAAAGAATTGCAATAGTTTGTAAATAATTAATTTTTAAATTAATACTGACAAAGATTTTTTAACTTTTAATCTGATTTTTAAATTGATTTAATAAGTATCAGAGTAACTAATACAGTTAAAAAAAACACCAATTATTAAAAAGTAATTACCTGTAAAAAATAAGACCTGGATTGCTAATACATCCATCTTCGTTTCCCGAAATGATAACAGAATCTATTTTCGGTAGTGGATAAGAAATTCCCATGTAATCTAACAAAGCGCGTAGAATTGAATTCAAATTGATTGCGTAACTTAGGAACGAGACTTGATCTTGTTTGATAGAATACATTGATAAGGTCTTCAATTTAGCTGCAATTACAGGATAATTTGTTATCGCAAAACTTATGGAATGAGGTGACAGTAAAGGAGTTTTTTGAAAGTAAGTCAGATAGTTATCCTTGGGAGTAGTAAAATTCCTTTCAATCGGCATGTTTGACAATGCAGTAAAATTTTTTGGATGCTCTATCGATATTTCAAAATTAGCTCGAAAAATCGGTTCGTCCCAACACGGAAATAAATTACGAGCAGTTGACAATCTCAAATTTTTAGTTCCGATAAAAAAATAACTAAAAGATAAATATTTAGATTCATACTTTTTGTTTTTGTTTCGAAAAATCTTCTTATTTTCTGAAAAGTCATTATTCCAGCGTAATAGTAGGGTGTAGTTGCCAGTTTTAAGTTCTTCTTTCAGCTCAATTATGTAATGATCATTCAAAGGGTACCACCATTGACCGGTGACATCGTAGATATGCCCATTTTGGTTGCTTATTACTTTTGTGTATCTTTCGTCCATTAAAATATACCTACTTTTATGGATGATTAGGTAATTTGAAGGCTCAAACACTTGGAAAAGAATTGTACTGTTTCCGATAAATGACGAATTTACACCGTTGTAACTATAAGGGTTTAATTGTATCGAATAAGAATGTGGGATGACATTTTTCAAAAGATCTAAGTCGGATTTTACAATTTTTGAAGCATTACAAAAATGTAATATTAAAACAGACAATAACACTTTTAGAAACATAATCTTATCTTGGCAATAACAGAGCTAACTGATTGCCGAAAATAAATTTTGTTGGTGCTTAATTGCTAGAAATAATTGCAATCGCGTTCATCGATTGATAATTGTGCCAATAAATATAATTTTAGAATTAAAATTGTTACTTCTTGTTTCACAATAAGCTTACTTCATTTTTTTTTTAATTAAGGTATTAATTAGTGTTTAATTTAAAGCAATTTTCAATTAAATTATTTTTAAAAAAATAATTTAAATAATAATTATTTTTGTGTAAATATTATAAGGTAGGAAAAAATAACAACAACAATAACATAAGACAATATCGATTTATATTTTTATTTTAATAACATTAATTCATTTATTTTTTTTTTATTTCAATTGAGGTACTCTTCCATCGTTTATTTTTAACGTGTTCCATCATATCACGTATCTCACATTATAATTTAGACATGGTTGACTTAAATATTTAAATTTAAATACGACTAATATCCTAAATATCTCCTCAATAACTCTATAAATAATTTTCAATTATTTATTTGTTTTATACATTAATTTTGAAAGTTTAAGATTTTAAAAGACATTAATTCGCTTTATTTAGACGTATGAGTATCCTACGGTACTGCCCATTTGATATTTTACAAATTAATTGTGCTTCTCATTACCTTGCTAAATTTAAAATAGTCACATTCCAACAACAATTAAAAAAAATTAAAGTTATTGAATAAAATTATCATTAAATTTGCATGTCCTCTTTAATATTCCACAATAAGTTAAATAAAATCTTTTTATATTTTATGAGCATTTTATTTTTGTTTAACGAGAATTAAGTGTGCAGTGCACGTCTCTACAGACATTTCTGATTGTGCGTGTATTATTAGAGTGCCAATTAGCACGTACACTCTTAACAACAGAAATAAATTTCATTTAGAGTAACTTATTTTTTATGCTTATGACTTTAAGTTCATTATTTATTTTTTTACCTCGCTAATTAATTAATATATTTTATTTTTATTTCTCTCTTATAATTATCCATTGCACATCTGCAATTATTCGGCATAACAAAAAATATTTTCAATTTAAATTATTATCATCGTATGTACTAATATATATTGTATATTTATATTCATTCATTTTATATATTTTATATATTACGACCTTCCACTTCAGTATACGTGTTATTTCAATTTAATCGTTGCCTCGATTTTATTTTCATTTTTTTTTTTTTTTTTTTAATTATTATTATTATCAATATGAGGATTTTTCAGGAGCTTCATTTTATTTTCAATTTAATGAAAAAGCAATCACGGCAGTGAGTAAATGATTGACAACAATAAAATTATTTCAATCAATCGAAAAAATTATTTTATATTATTATTAATTATTAATAAACATATTTATTTTCGTGATAATTTTATTTTCAGTTTTCATTATATATTTTATTGTTTTTAATTATAAATAACGGAACGGATAACATCGAGATGTTTTTTTTTTCTGGCAGGTTGTAACATATTTATTATTTGGCACCTCAGATATTTTCAAATATATGTACTCAGTAATTTTTTATTTATTTTTGACGATATTTTTATAAAATAATCTTTAATAAAAGTTCATTAGCTATTTAGAGCTATTGGAATTTTTATTGTTTGGTTTTAAGGTGAAACTCATTAAACTTTTATTTAGACAAACAGTTCATATTTTAGCGTTTGCAAAAAAAATATCTAAATTACAATATTAGAAGAAAAAAAAATTTTTTTCAAATCTTTAAGTTCGAGATTAATAGTGAGCTTTGCTAAATTTTATTATTACACTGATAGAAGAATTTTTTTTATATTTAATAAGCTTTTATAATTGTTAATAAATGATTTTTTAACATCATAGGATTTAATAAATATTTATTAATTGTTAATAAGTAATTTATTAACTTTTAATAAATATTTATTAATGATTAGTGAATATTAATTGAATGTTAAAAAATATTTATTAAAATTTAATAAATTAAATAATTGTCTTCAAATAAATTAAATTATTAATAGTTAATAAATCCTTTTATCAAATCAACAGTGTGAATAATGAAAAACATCGATCTCAATAACTTTAAGAAATCGTTTTAGATTTCAAACTTTCATGATAGTATTTTTGAAAAAAGCATTGTTGCAAGAGTACTCGAAACTTTTCCACTCCAAAACAAGTTCCTTCGAGAGTTTTACAACAAATATTATATCAACGACTCGAATAAACTTTGCTTTATAACTAAACTCTATTGTAAATTAAGTTTCTAATGAAAAGCTTTATTATTTATTGTTCGTCAACTTATTATAAGAAATCAATAAATATGCAAGTCAATAATTAATCATTGTTGATCTTTTAAAAATTGAAAGACTTCATTTTTATCGAAGTCGCTAGTTGAACTTAAAAATAAATTTTTCTAAATAAATGATCCGAATAACAAGAGAAAAATTTTTTAATACTTCTAATAATTACAATAAATCTGATTGTTTTTCTTTTTAGAATAATGAGCAGAATTTTGTAATTAATTTTAGTTCAGCTACAATAAGTGTGTGAAAAACGAATAATGAAATTGTGTGCAAGACAAACAGTTTAAATTCAATTACTTTATTTATTATTACGTTATTCTCAAAATATCTTTTCCTAAATTTGCTTCTGCATAAATATATACGAGCATCTATTTATATTATATTTTCCTTTTTTCTTATTGTTCCATTAATAAATTTTATTTTTCTTAGCACCGATTTCTATAGTAAAATATATCGAGAAAAAAAAGAGAGAAAGTATAACAGTAATTGACACATTATTGAAATTTCTCTAAATTTTTTATGAAACATTTTTGAGAGAGCAACTTCTTGTTAAGTTGTATTAATTATTCATTTTTAAGAATATCAATTTAAAAATAACAATTTAGTGAATAAACTTGACAATTTTTTTAAGTATAACTTGTAAGTTTGTACGTTTTTTATAAACTTTGGCACAATTATTTAGATAATAATAATGTACGGAAATAGCGGCAGAAAAAGTTTTAAAAAAATTAAAGAATAGAAAAATCTCTGGTATTTTATTTTTTTTATTAGGTAATAGGTTAATATCAATCGATTTAAAGTAACACTGATCTAGTGCAAAACATGACAAGGAAGAATAATAATATTGACAGTACCTTGTCAAACAGAAAACATTGCGAAACAGCTGGAAAGAGAATGAAAATATTGACAGTATCTTCTGAGCATACATGACATACACCGATCGATACAGAGATATCTTCAAGTTTATGTACTTGTAACTAGTATTGAGTTCTGATTCAAAGTTAACCGGAAAGAAATCTTATTTCTTTAACTTAATTAAAAAATAATAATCTAAATTATGAATAAAAATTCATTGTTAATAAATCATTTATTTAAGAAAAATTTATTTGTATATTTAATCCACTTGTTTAAAACTATTACTTTGTTTGATTTAATGGAATTTCATTATCCATTAAAGTTATATAGTTATAAAAAGTGTCAAAATAAAATTTTTATTCAAGTGTCTAAACAGATCTTTATTATAATTTAATAAATATTTATTAACATTTGGTTAATTAAAAAAAACCTTATTTAATAAATGATTTATTAATTATTAATAAATATATATTTGATTAAACTTGATAAATATCTCCTTAATTATAAAAAGATTTCTTTGTGGGGTGAAAATACTGTAGGTTTCACTGCGCCACCTTTTAGTACCGCCATTGTTTCGGTAAAGTCTCTACAATAGACATCCCTAAAAAATAGTTAGAAAATCCCAAGTTTATCCGACGAATAAAATGTTATTATTAATTATTACTTTATTAAATAACAATTTTAAAAGTTTAACAATAAGTTGCGCCTTCAAAATATTTTTTCAAATAAAAATAAAGCACAATTTTTTCTTTAAAAAATATCATTAAAAAAAATAAATATTGTTGATATTAATTGGCATTAAATTGAATTTTCTATAGAAAGAACCGCATGCTTTTGGTTCCGCATTCCATTGATCTAAATAATTATCATAATTATAATCTATTATTCTTTAACAATCACCATTATACGTCAACAATTGTCTAAACATTTTTTATTTTTTATATACTGCGTCATAAGAATATAAATTCACGTTTATCTGACGTTTTTGTTTATTTATTTCTCATAATAATTTCAATTCAATTAAACATGTTGATAAATTCTACACACTTGAGGGTGATTTTCATTGGATTTGGGCTAGCGATTTTCACCGTTAAAAAACTCATTACTCATTACAATAAAACATTGTAAACTTTAAAATTTTAAAAAATCAAAATAATTTATTTCACACAAAATAAAATAGAAAAATAAAAAAAGTAGATACAAAAAATTAAACACTACTTGTAGCGTGGCAGTCATTCAAAGTTGCTAGACTGCTAGCTTTTAATGACGCCAAGCTCAATGAACTCTGATTCAAATCATGAGAATCATCGCAATGTAAATATAAACGTGAGCTTACGGATTTATGACAATCGGGACAAAGACGTTTTTTCTTTTTGTCACGTCTCTTCAGTATGTCGTACGCACATCTGTGAACATAAACAATGAAATAGAAAAAAAATAATAATAAAAATAGTTATTATTATTATTTTACCGAGCATGGAGAATGTGTGAACACGGCAATGCTTCAAGAGTGTCAGCTTCTAAGCCAAAAGACTCATTGCATCCACCACATCTCAGCTCCAAGTCCTCTTCAGTAGCAGCAGCCAGTCTTTCATGATGATTTTTCTGCTCTTCATCGCCTAGAGAACCGTAGATTCGCGATAGCCTGCATCGCACCGTTCTCACAAGTAACTGAAAGTGAAAGAATAAAACACTGTCACATTTCAAAGAGAAATAGAGAAAGAATATTTTATTTAAACGTGCATGAGAAGACAATGAAGACAGATATATGATTCGTATCTATGATGTGGCCCTGGCATATATACTTTTTTTATTTCTAAAAGCTTCTTTGGTATGGGTTATTCTTTTGTTTCAGATCTATTATATGGTTGCTATTACTCCAATTTTTATCTATCATTATCATTATTAATTATCATTTCGTTTAATTAAAGGGATGTTATTTTTTTTTAATTGTTTTTATTTCTTTTATCTTTTCTAAAAATAAAGTTTCGGGCTTAGAGAAAAAGTATACTGTTGAAGAAATTTTTAAGACATCATTTAATTATTATAATCCATTATTGAGCTTTTAAATTTTTTTTGTGATACCAGTTTTGTTCTTCTTAAGAAATTCAATTAAAGTCAATATTACTAAAAGTATAAAATCACCTTGGCACCAACAGAGCTTGCAACTTCAAGTAACCTTGTGTTAAATTCTAACGGTCGGCAATTACAGATTTTGTGCTGAAGTCGTAAAGCTTCTAGACACCTGGCAGCACCATCCATAGCTTCCATTTGACACAATCGATCTCCAGTCGCTGCTGCCGATCCCATAGCACTCTCGTACTGTCGAAAGGCTTTCTGCAAGATGTCAAACTTAGTCAATAACTATTATATGTTCGATTCACTGTTTCTGTGTCTATTCAATGTAGTAAATTATTCAAACTTTAATTTACTTAATGTCAAAGTGCAATTCATTCTAAACAACGATTGACTGCTGTATTGATTATCTTTCTTTCACTTTTACAAAAATTAACTTTATTCAAGAAAAAGAAAGTTTTAAGCTAAGAAAATCATTAAGATCTTTTATTCATAATTTTTAACTTTGTCAATGAATTTAAACACAAATTTTGTTTTAATCATGTAACAAAAGTTGTGTTGATTTTACAAAATATTTTCTATTGTGTGTACTGAATTTTTAATACAGTTCTTACACTTATTTCCGATTTTTTACGGTAGATATCTCCCATTATTCGTATACTTCGTGCATAACTGGCTTGATCCCCAGATACTAAAGACAATCGAGTTGCTTCCTGTAACACATAAAATTTGGTTAAATTAAGAAGGTAGAAGTTGAGAGTGAAGAATAAAAAGAATGTCAATTTTTTCTTCATTAAATTTTTATCGCTAAATGAGTATTTGATTTTAATAATAGCCATTTATTCGAAAATTCAAAATAGATTTAGAATTATAAAAGCTCTAGTTGGGTAAACATGATAGAAGCGCCTCGGGCTAATTAACCTAATTATTTTTGTGACAGCTTCTATTGACCCAGAGATTGTAGCGTATTTTTGAATCGATATTTGCACACCACTGACGCAAAGTAATTGAAAAGTAAAAAATATTTTTCCTAAAAATAATCGCTTGCATAAAAATTAACTTGATGCAAGATAAAAAAATTTGAACCAATAAAATTGTTTTGAAAAATTTCTTACTCTTGAATTTAACAAAAGATTAATTGGTTAAAAAATTTTCTCAAGAATTTTTCTCAGCAGTAGAGTATCATAAAATTTTCATAAATTAACTAGATTAATTTAATTAATTTGTCATCAAAATTGCAATCAACTTATCCTTCCACATCAGATCAGATAAAAATAAAAATATTAATTGTCATCAACTGATTGTTAAAACAGCGCATCATTTATCGCTATTGGCGTATTTGTTACTCAAAAGGTGATAGATTGAAATATAATATCATTTGTCAACTGCAATTATACCGAACAAGTGATTTACTGGCGTTTACAGTGTGACAGATTATTCAATATCAAATTATACGTTATCGCAGCCAGATAAATTATCCGATCATCTAACAGTGGTATTATTCACATTTTATCCTATCATAAATCCTTTGGTAATAATGTCCAATTAGAAAACTAGTTATATTCAAGTTATACATCACTTTAAGTAATTTTATAAAAAAATAAAAAATTCGGCAAAGATATTTAAAGTTAACTAAAAAAATGTTGACTTGTAAGCTTTACATTAAATAAATAAGTGATAAAATTAATACCGAACAGTAATCGTGAGCGTCACCAAGCTCGCCTTTTTTCCTCAACGCCGTTGCCATTTGCAACAAAGCTGCACGATGGTGTCTAGAATTTAAATCAGCGAGCTGTAAGCTTCTTGAGAGATCATACGCTCTTGCAGCGTATCTAGCACTTTTTTCAGCGTCCTGAAGGCGGCAGAATAATTCAGACAGTCCCACGTAGACCTGAAAATTTATCAGAGTTATTTCCACAATTTGTGGACTAAAAATATGATTAATCATAACATAATACTGGTATAAATGTTTAAGCGCTGAAAAAGTTAGCTACTTTTATCAAACTCTTGAATTTAATTTAAGATCTTCCGCATGTAAATTGAGTTTGAGATAAAATTGAGTAGAGATAAAAATTTATAGTTCAGCTATCGGAGTTTTAGAATTTATGTCTATGTACCTGAAGTTCTAAAGAAGGATCTTGAATGGAATGAGCAATTTTGTGAGCCCTCTGAAAAGCTTCCAGCGCTTTGCAGAATCCAGCTAGTTCCAAATGTACTCTGCCTACAGTTAAATGAACTAGTCCAGCTGTCGCACATTGGTCACACTCATTGTAGAGACTGAAATCATTAATTTTATTTTATTATTTTCGAACAAAAAAAAATTTATTAAATGAAGAAACTCAATTTCTTGACGAAAATAATTTATGGAGATTGGTAATAATTATTATTATTACTTGTAATATAATTGATAAAGAGATTAAAATGTTAACGCGTAAAAAATTAAAAAATTGACTTTAGAAACTTTTTTTTCAGATTCACAATAATAATCTTAATATTTGTAAGCTAAATTTTTCAATTAGTTTTTAAGTCTTTTAATCAAGTTAATTTTTTAATGATGAGGAAATTTTATGATTTGATGAAATTACAAAAAGCGTAATTAAATAAATTGATAAAATACTAGCATTTATTTTGAAGTACTTCAAGATGATGACATTTTTTGGTCATCAAAAGATAATGCACAGAGACAATGTTGTTTAACAGAGTCGTAAACAAGTCAATTAAAAAATTAATTAATTGATAACAACTACCTATATTATTTGTCGACTTACACGATAATATAGAATTATAATGAGCGACAAAATAAAAAAATTGATAAAAAATTAGGTATTTAATAGAAGATTAGTGATAATAAAAAGTTATCATCTATATTGATGATCAGTTAGTCAATTAACAAAATCGTACAACCTAATTTTTTTAAAAAAATCTTTTTTATTGCTGCCATTCTGTAAGACGCACTTATATCAATTACAAATTTGATCATTGTTTTTTCAAATAAATTTTACGGAAATGGGATCGGTGAAAATTTTATCATTTTTTATGATTGTGACTTTTAGTAGCGCTTTTTCGGATGATCAAAATATCGATACTCAATGTGCAATAAGACATGGCTCCGTAAGTATTATATTATTATCAAATATCCGGACAAAGTTTAAGTGATTAATATTTGTAATGCCCGGTTGAACAGTGCAACCCCGATCTTTGGCGTCCATGTTGCAACTTTAGAGACGAATGCAAGAAAACATGACCAGATGGCGTCTTTCGATGCGTCGGTGATATTCTGTGTAATTTTTTTTATAATTTTTATTGTAATAATTACAAAAATTCAAACTCTGAAGTTAACTATCTATGTTGTTAGGGGGACTAGGAAAATTTTGTGAGCTGGATGAGGACTGTGACGAAATAAGCCATGCGAAGTGTTCAAAAGATCATTATTGTATTTGCAGAAAAGATAACGTCAGAATAAATGCGTGGACCTGCGCTCCAACTTTGGGGAGTTTTTGTTGGCAAGATGAGTTATGCGCTACTGAAAATGCTCTCTGTATTAACAAGGAATGTCGATGCACTGCTAATTATTTTTCGAACCACAACAATCAATGCATACCCAGTAATTAATCTCCAATTTTTGAAAGCTTTCTTTTTTTTATCTAATTTTATTTCTAACGAATATCTTATTTGGCAGAAATTTTGGGAACCTCCTGTGAGACCGACGAAATATGTAATAGTCAGGTTAAATTTTCAAAATGTTCTGAGGATAATATCTGTACTTGCATATTTAATACTATTGAAATTAATCCGAGATATTGTGCTCCAACTTCAGGAGGAGTCTGTTGGCAAACTGATGAATGTGTACCAAAAAATTTAGAATGTATTAATAATATATGTCAGTGCGAGCAAGGTACTGCATATGATCCCACTGAACTTAAATGTCGCTCAGGTAAACGAATATCAGAAATTTAAAGTTACTTAGTTTTAACCTTTCGCTGCTCGCTTAATTAGACCTTAATTTTCTAAATTTAGCTTGAATTAATCAAAATTCTTTGATTAGAACTTTTTTATGATTTTCTCTTATGAAGAAATAAGAAAGCGTTCACCGAGCAAATGACTAAAAAATGATGCGAGTAGCGATAGATTAATAAAAGTAAAATAATTTTGCTGTTTGAATTCCCCTTTTAAATGTTCTCCTATTTCATCTTTTCAAATGTAGCTTACTCTTATCGTCCTAAATTAACTGCAACCAGTTCTAAGTCTAAGTCAATCTGTTCCGATTTCAATAACTGCATGTGTTATCAAGAAAGTTCTGAATCGTTTTTCATATGCACACCAATGGATAAATATCACTGTGAGACAAATGACTCCTGCTTAGTAGAAAACTCTTTGTGTATTGAAGATTTTTGTCAATGCAAGCCGAGATTTTTGCACAAATCCCAAAAATGTATTCCTGGTGAGTTAATCTTTTGGTGAATTAAAAAATAATAAAATTTTCTGGTTCTCAATACTTTTCCACAAATCATTGTAGCGTATTTGAATGAATTGTGTAGTGACGATAGTAATTGTAACCAAATTAGGCATGCAGTGTGCTCAAAAGACAAAGTGTGCGTCTGTGATGAGAGTCACATTGAATACAATAAAGAATTTTGTAAATCTGTTATTAACGGATTCTGTTCAAGTGATGCAGATTGCTTAGCCGTCAATTCAACATGCATTGAGCGTACGTGTCAATGCAAACCCAATATGGTTAAATATACAAAAGACTTGTGTATAACTCGTAAGTTTCATAATTTCGTCCATCTTTTGAAGCCGATGCTAATTTGACTCTGATTACAGGTCAATTGGGAATTCCGTGTGAAGACCACCTTGATTGTGCAGATATACTGGGTAGTCAGTGTTCTAGCAACAAAAAATGCGAGTGTCTATTACTTTATGAAGAATATAATACCACAGCTTGTGCGCCATTACTTGGCAGAAGTTGCTCGGAACTTAAACTATGCGCAGTCACTCATTCCAGTTGTGCAGATGACATATGTATTTGCGACCATGGTTTCGTTAAGCATTCGATTGACAAATGTGTACCACGTAAGTTGATTTAAGCTTTTGAAATGAACATTATGACTTAGTCATCGAATGTCTGATTAAAAATTTAGATTACATTGGGATGGAATGTGAAAAAAATGATGATTGCCGGTTGCTATTAGACTCCAAGTGCATAAATTACGTCTGTGCTTGCCGAGATAATTATACTCCTCTGAATGCTACAGTTTGTGCTCCACAACTGGGCGAATATTGTAGAATGGACCAACAATGTGCAGCAGCTAATTCTATTTGCATTAAAAATAAGTGTAAATGCCAACTTCAGTATGAATCGATAGACAGAAATCACTGCCTGAGAAGTGACTGTAATCAATTCACTATTTAAATTTAGCTTACATAATTTGAAAATTTTAAGAGTTATAGCAATGTTTTCATCAGTTGCAGGACTTGATAAGTTTTCATGTGACCATGACGGTGATTGCAATGATATAAAATATTCTCACTGTTCTCTTGACAAAGTATGTAGCTGTAAACCAAATTATTATTATTATTATGTACCTTTGGGAAGGACAAAATGTGTAGGACTTATTGGCGAAATCTGTGATTCAGATGACGAATGCATTTCTTATAATTCAGTTTGTGTCAATCATATATGCCAATGTCTTGAAGGGCTTTATGCTCCAACAAAATATCAATGCGATAAAAGTAATTTTGACTAAAGTAATTTTTCGTTTTAGAAATTAATAAGAAATCAAAAGCTGCCTATAGGCACCTTTTGGTGCAGAAAGAACCTAAATGAGATTCAAATGAACCTAATCGTGACTCAATGAATGTCAAATAATACTTATCGAGTCTAGATTAAATTTGATCATACTCTTAAGACTTTTGAATGATTTGTTATGACTTATTTTCGGATATATTTCGAGATATTATGGATTAATCCAGCATCAAATATGATTTAGGCTTAATTGATATTATTTGAGACTCATCAAATCTTAATTAGGTTCATTTGATGTTTTTTTTTTATGCTTTTTTTGCATAATTATAGGCTCAATATCCTTTTTAAATATTTAATAAAAATTGATCGAGGATAATTGAGGATTTTACTTTATTTTCCGAACAGTTTCGCTGGGCTCAAATTGTCAGGCTAATGAGGACTGCTCAACGTCAATAATAAATTCTGAATGCTCCAGTGGCAAAGTATGTGTTTGTCATAAAAATTATATCGCCTCTAGCAAATTTGAATGTTGGCCCACTTTATTCGAGAAGTGTTCGATAAACAAAGACTGCCAATTCAATAATTCAGCTTGCTTTGAAAATAAGTGTCAATGCCTTCTTGGTTTCAGAGCTGTGTCAGAAAGCCAATGTAAACCAAGTAAGTCAAAATAAATAATTAAAACACACGGAATTGAAATAACTTGATATTCTTTCGGAATTTCAGTTGATTACATGTACCCATGTGATACAGTGTTAGATTGTGGTGATCCTTGGCACTATCAATGTGATCGTTTGGATAAAAGATGTCGATGCAACGTTAATCATTTTTCAATAAATAAATCAACATGTATGGTGCTTTTAAAGGGTTATTGTTGGAGTGACAGTCAATGTTTAGTCAATAATGCGGCATGCATTGATTTTCACTGTCAATGCAAAGAAAATTTCGTTGCTGTTTCTGGTAATTTTTGTCGACCAGGTACAAATATAATATTTGAATGGCAATACATTAATTGTTATATTTTCAAAGTAGAAAATATATTTTTAATTTTGTTGCAGTGTCAAATTCAACTATGTTGACTGTCAATCATGAACGAGTTTAATTAATTCGTTCTCAATTGAAAGGTTCTTTGTTAAATATTCAACGGAATATTTCGGAAAAAAAATATTAAAAAATTTTTGTGATTATGGTTTTGAAAATAGTAAAATATTAAGTGGGATAGCCACTCAGAATGCCTGTCCCCATTAATAATGAACAGTAAACACTATATCATAATAATTACATAAGTTCTAAATAAATTTACAATACCTGTGTCGAGCATATCCTAAAGCCTTGTCAAGAAGCCCAAGTCTCTCATGTGCCCGGGCTAAATTTAAATAAGCTTCAGCCCGCATGTTAGGCGAGTCCTGCTCGTCAGAGATACTCAACTGCCGGAGCGCAAAGTCTATGCTGTCCCTATTAAACAAATAATAAATATTTATATAGTAAACGAGACAGAACTTAGATTGACACTCACAAATTGCTTTTCCACGACCTTTTTCCCACCGAAATAACCATTCTGCTGTTTACTCATTATAATTAAAAGTAAATAGACTACCAAATCAAGTCAGTTAATTTTTAAATGTTAATTTGTTTTTAAATCTGGATAAGTAAATACAATTGACAGCGACCGTGTTAAATTTAATGACATTCTAAATAAATTAACCACTCCAGTGGTTGCTTTTAAGATAGATTAGATTAATTTCGCGGGATCAGTAGTTTAGCTCTTGTATCTGATTATTCTAGAGATTCATGAATATACATATAAACGTGCCTGATTTTGACCTTTTTTCATTATTAAATCTATCAAGCTTGATATATTATTTTGATAAAATTAACTTGTATTAAATATTATTCTTTTTCTCCTAATATATGGTTTTTAATTAGCTATTTATGGCCTTGTATGGTCATAATTATGCTCGTATTTAAATTTTGCCTAAACTTAATGTTCAAAAATTCCGACAGATGGCGCATGATCGCTAAATCTTCTCCTTTATAGAGAGTTGAGTTTGAGATAATAAATAATAAAATCTAAATCATTTTTTTTCTCTTAGGAAGCTTTTTTTGCGGATAATTTTTACGCATAATAATTTAAAAATTGCGTATAGATAAAATGAATTTCTGGTTAACAGAAAAATTTATAATTAGCATTAAATTAAATTCGCTTAATTTACTAACATAAATTAATTATAAGCATTTAAATAAAATTGATAATAAATTATAAGACTCTTTAAATTAAAATGTCCTAAATTTATGATAATATAATAGTCTATTGTGTTGTAAGCATTTAACTCCTTTGTTAGTGGTCTATGCATCAGAACCAGAGATGAGGGTTTGTAATTTCTAGATACAAGGAATTTATGTATATGTGGTCTTACATGAAATTTCTAGAATTCTGCGAGGAATGCAATTGCAATAGATTCATAAATATTTATAAACTGCAAAGGAGCGTTATAAAAAAAATAAATATTAAAGTTTTTATAATAAAAAATAATTCTCATGTGAATGTAAAATCAAGAGGATCACCATTGGCGTTGATTTCTTGAAGTTTATTGGTCTGGTAAATGTAAATGAAAGCTTGTCAACTCGACAAATAAACTGAGAGCGCTCTAACGAAGTTTGACGTTATAAATCTGACGTATATAAGTATAAATTAAAAGATTTTAATTTTTTTGTTCCAGTGCGGAATGTGAATAATATTTCAACGGGAGCATAATAATGGAGGGAATGCATTAAATATCCAACTCAGCCACTTAATGTAATGTGCTTAACGTTTGGAATGTGATCTGGAGGCATTCAACAGTACGACGGAAGGCGGTAAGTGCAGCACCATGTTCTCTATTTGTCAATATCGGTCAGTGCTGGTCATTGGTATTCGCCAATAGGTATCTGTGGTCTTCGAATACCTTTATTCAGTCCAAGTTAAACCGAGTTCTCAGCTCAGCACTCACCAGTAAAGTTGTTAATGTCTCTCTCAGAATAGAAGGAACTCCAGTAAATGGAAAAAGTTTCAGAGTATGCGCATAGAAATCGCTCCTCAATGCATAAAATATAAGTTGAGAGTTAAGTTTTGAGAGCAGCATCAAAGTAAAGCTAAGTAAAGCCAGGTAGAACAATGGATATTGACTACAAAATAATGTTAAATATAAGATCCGAGATTCCCACACAATGTATTCTATTTTGAGATATATTTTGTATGGAATATTGGAACTATATTGACGATCGAAACCTCTAAAATATGCATCGTATACGTGTACGGAAGCAACACTCGATTAAACTCTGGAACTCTTTTTATCGCGGGATGGATTCCAAGAATAAAATTTTTCTTCGATCAAGTTGTGCTAGTTTTTTCTGGCAAAATGTCCGCGGAATATAGAGTAGAGTATAGCAATAGTAGAGTATGCAGTTGTGATGGCTGACATAAATGGCAAATATTGATCAGTTTCGTGGAAAGAGAAAAATATGTTTCAATGATCGTACATGAGAAATCGCAGAGATAAAATTGGAGCTCAGAATATTTTATGGCTTTAAATTTTTTATTTAAATAAAATGTTTGGCTTTATGGTACACGTGTAGGTTAATGATTTTAGATAAAAGTGAATGGAAATTTTGATAGCTTCACTGAACAGAATTTTTGAGTGTGCATTTTAGTTGAAACTATCCAAATACACTGAGAAAAAATAGTACTAATACTCTTGAGAAAATTTTCTTGTCACAAGAATATATATTCTTAAAAATTATCAAGAATATATTCTTGATAATTTTTAAGAATACACTGATAAAAGGATTTAGTTCTATTTAATAAGATTTAGTAACAGATACTAAATGATTTAGTAACAAACCTTTCATCACCAAATATTTAGTAATAGGTCCTAAATAATTTATTAAAGCCCATTTAGTTCCACCAAATAAATATTTAGTAGTATTTAACGAATGATTTATTGGTACTAAATAAATCGTTAATTGGTATCAAAGAAATTAATTTTTTAACTAATTTTAGCGTGTAACTGTAACAAATAATATTGATGGGTACAAAATATTTATTTCTCCCAAATAAATGGATAAAAATTTTGTTACTAAATCAGTTTAGTACTCCGTACTAAATCCTTCTATCAGTGTATATTTTCTTGTCTCAAAAATTGATCGAATTATTTTTTGTTTAATTCAAGTGAACCTATTCGTTTGTTAATCTATCAAAATTAATGCCAATAATTTATTATCATGATAGATATTGATATTCTTTTGTCAAAAAACCAAAATTTATTTTAAACTATTCTTGAGCCAAGAAATTTTTTTCTGGACAAAAAATTTTTTTTCTCAGCGTAGTTCTATAGTTTTCTAATATTATTAATTATTATACATTGATAAACATTGCTGTCTTGGTCAAGTGCTGATCTGGTTATTTACGCTTATATACATATATTTGTAATATAATAAATGTATATAAATAAAAGTAATTACTATAATTATAAATTAATGAGTATTGAACGGTATAAAAGCTCGTTTGAATTAAAATCCATAATTATTACCTTGTGCTTGAAACTCATTTATGATAACGCAATAACAAAGTCTCTTGCAGCAAATAAAATTAAATTATCGAACAATAATTTTAAATGTGATTATTAAATACATAATTAAATCTATCGATCCGTGAGCTTCAAGGCATCAATATTAATATTAATAATTATCATATTTTTTAATTAATATTCGTTATTTAATACGTCGTGAAAAAAGTAATTTAATCAATTACACTACGGTAATTAGACTTTGCTTTTAATTAAACTTGAAAATTCTTGAGGATCTAATTAAAAGTTAATAGATATTTATATACTTAGCATAGTAATAAATATAAACATGCCTGTATTTTCCCCAGTCCATATACGCTTGGTAAAGATATCCTAGTAGAGTAAATTTGTCTTCTCGTTGGCGGATATTTTTTAATGCTCCTCGCCATTTCCGCACCGCCGCTTGCTGTTTGTGTGCTCGGTATAATTTTAATCCTTGCTCTACCTGTAAATAATAAAAATTCGTTAAATAATTTGTTATATTTTTAAAAAAAAAATTTCCTTAAAAATTAAAAATTTAATTTATTCATTTTTTAATAAAATAATTTCAATATATATTTTGATTGTAACAAACAAATAAATGATTAGCATGATACTAAAGTTAGCCGATGTTTTTAATTTTTTGATTTTTTTTTTAATAATTAAATTAGAACAGAAAAATATTTTTTAAAAATTGCACTTAAAGTTTTTTAAGTTTTTAACAAATGACAATTTTTTTTTCTTTTTTTTTTGAAGCCATTTTTTCAATAAAAAAAATTTTTTTAATTTTTAAATGTCGGCTAACTTAATTTTCATATGATTAGCTTTATTAAAAAATATTTTCATAAAAAAATAACGCTTTTTTTTCTTGTAAGTACGCGTAGTAAAAATAAATATAAAAGTACGGCAAAAAAAAAGTATGATAATCAATAGAACATAAAATAAAAAAAAATCTAAATGTGTATCGATTATTGATAGCTATTCAGAGCGCTAAAAAATTCTTTTGTCCATTTATTTTCTTTTTATTCGTATTTATCCTTAAAACAAAAAATATTTGTATAAACTGAGATACAAAAAGGACAGAATAGAGATTTCATTGAAGTAAACATTTTCCGGAATCGCTTGACAAATATGTCATAGACTAAAAAAAGTAATCGATTGTTTAAGAGATAAAATATGTCAAGAAATTCTCAGAGTTTGATTCATTCGTTGCTTTAAATTTATGATATATTTAGCCTGGATAATAAACGATCATTTTACTTGATTTCGAAGAAGAAAAATTCAATTATAGCGAATAGGTTCGGCTAATTATTTAATTAATCATTTAATAAAGTATGGGGTAAAGTTGAACTCACGGAATGGCCAGATCACGCAAGGCGAAGCTCGAAGCTTGGAAATAACGATACTGTTGAGGGAGAATGCCAAGTAAAAGAGAGCAGTATCGATTTAACCCTGAACTTTAGTTGGTCTTAGAGAATGCACGTGTTGGGGTCACGGAATAAATATACAGTAATTGAGTTTCTATAAACTACGCGTTGATAGGTGTCTATTCTCTTGTTCTCTTGTATTTATTTTTTAGTATTGCAGTTTTGAGTTCATGAACGAATTCGAGAGGACACTTGACTCGAATTTTTATGCAAGGTTAAGATTCTCATTTTAATGACAAGGTTTAAATAATTGGAGCAAGGTGAATTGGAATAAATGAATTATTTATTGTATTTTTTTAAATTTTTATTGAAATATACACATAAAGATTTTCAATGTTATTTTTTTACGAATGTGGATTTTGCTTCTTAATAGTTTGCTTAATTTTTTTTTGATTTCTAACAATCTTGGAGAAGTATTCTAGTCTAGAATTTTGAAAAGAAATTTTTTTTTATTGCAATTTAAAGAATACCTAAAATTATTCATTTTTGTTGTGTAATAAAATATTTGAGAAATTTTTCAATGATAATTTTTTTAATCATGAAATTTTTGAGTGAGAATTTTTTTGCATGAGATAAATTTATATATGAAAAATTTTTGTCTCGAGAAATTGTTACGGATAAATAAAAACACGGAGCCAAATTTGTGCCTCTCGACGAGAATATTCCCTTAGACATTTTTCATAAAAATTTTTTTCCTCCATTTTCTGGGAGAGCTCATTCACATTTAAATTCATAAATTTTTCGAGATTAACTCAAAAATACTCCAGTTAAAGTTTTTTACTCTCAGCGTGCTTCTCATACTCTACAGAAGGAAAAAATTTAACTTGACCAAAAGCTAAAGTTTGTAAAAATTAGAAGTAGTATTTTAAACCTCTGAACTATTTATCCACCTTAACATTCCCTGCGAAAATATGTCATGCGCATTTCGACAAAGATTTATTTCCTAGCATTGCATCAAATTTCGCTTGAAAATTTTTAATTTCCTCCATCAAACTTTAATGTAAAGTGAATAAAAACTTCAAAGTAAGTCAATTACCGGAAAATAACCATAAGATTTATTCCCGACTATCCATAAAAAAATAATAAATCCACTTTTTTCTTAATCACAGAGAAATAATGGAGTTAGTTGCTATTTTTTGAAACTCTCAGCTCATAAAATCACACTCTCCGTTTAACATTTTTATTACCAGCGTAATGCATAATTACAATATCGTACTCAGTCTTGAGTATTTTCCATGAGCATTAGAGTCAATTTGCAGAGATATTAATCTTGAGTTTGACCTCAGCACCGGGAAAAAGCTATTTACATCGACCCAACAACAGTTGAGCACGCACCCACCTAAACAACTGGGCCAAGTTCGTACTTTATATCTCTGTGTTTTATCTTTGTCTTTGCTATTGTTTTTATCTATCTGTCTTTATTTGTATCCGATATCGATATTTACCCTCAAAAGCTCGACCCTTTGTTTCTAGTACTTGAGTTCCGTATAGGTAAGGGATTACTTTATCAACTTTTAGCCCACTTTTCATCTATTCCAACTAAAATAAAATAAAAAAACCTTTTTTTTTTCTTACTTATATCAATAAAAAGCTTTTTTCCTTAATTCCGCTTATTTCCGTAATAATATCATACTACGATAAAATATCTCGGAAATTAAATTACTTGGATGCTATTTAGATCGGTAAGCATTCTGTCAAATATAATAATAACAGCACTAAATTGTTTTCACCACTTTTAGTATATTGATGCAGAATATTTATGCTTTTAATGAGCCAAGTCTCGAATTAAGTATATTTTGACAGAATTTAATTAACATCCACGACATTTTGAGCGTGAGGCTGAAGGCTGTCATCTTTAGGCTGGATCTAATGGAATAATTTATAGTTTCAACTTCCAAATTTACATTTTGCTTCGATAAAAATTGAAGTTTCTTTCATAACTTTGATCATAACTGCAACTGCTTTGTTTAGAGAAGGTTTTAAAAGTGGAAACAAAAGTTCAGAATAAAATTGTAGTGTATTATTCACACAGTGAGCTAGTATAATTTTCACCGCACCAACAAATGTGGTTTAAATGGCACTGTGGATTTAGCAGCAGTACTTTCATTAACTCCACGAAGTGCTTTGTGGTGTTCAATGAACAATTTTTGTCGTTTCTGCTGCCACACAATTTTTCATACATGCTCGTATGTTTTACTTATTTTTGGTTACGACATTAAATTAATTGCGTTTACACCAACTGTAGTATATTGAGGCCAGAAATAAATATTAACTCCAAAATTACCTTTTTAAAAACTCATTATAAGGTAAAAGCCCAAATTATTGACAGAGGACCCAAATATTAACACCTTAATTTACTTTTAAGTCATCTGTACTAAGAGTAACTATCATATAAATTTTTATCAAATTCTAATTAATTGAAAAGTTGAAAAAAAATGACTGTCAGTTCAAAATATTAAATATTAATTATTAAAATTAATTTATAATAAAATTATATATTTTTTCTATGTCATAAACGTAAAACAGGTCCAAAAATAAAAAATCTTCAAATAAAATCCAACTTATAAGTTCCATCATCAAAACTCGAGACTTAAAGCAGATTTAAGAAGACAAGAAATTTTTTTCTTTTTGTCTACGAAGAGAAATGAAGAACTTACTGTTCAGATCTGTCTCTCAGAGCAAAAATAGCCGTTAGTTTCACAATAAAAGCTTACTCTCAATCCCTCTCGATTCAGATCACTCGTTAAACCTCTTTGCATCGTCATCTATAAACTCGACCCTCAGTTTGTCGGACCGAATCAAGTGCTCTATCTCTTGTAACATTTTTGCTTACTTTGTACAATTCACTCTTTGTCTACGCACTGGAATATTCTCTCATCAAAAATATTAACAACAGAATTTTTCCATTGTTACATAGAAGTATTCTCTCGAAGATCAAGTGTTAGAGACTTGAATATTGATTCGATATAAATCCCCGTAAAGATAAAATATAAAACGCAGAAAGTAGGAATAAAAAAGTGAGTGCCATTTGTAGAAGCCACAGGATCTCTCTTGGGAGAGTAAGAGTGACTTACATTATTTTTCCCCAACATTTTTTTCGGCCTAGCAAAGGGGAAAAAGTCCGAATAAAAGCAAGAATCGATTGGCTTACGTTTAGCAGCCGACAGAATGATGCGAAAGAAAAGTTGATTAAATTTTAAATCCTTCCTAAGTATAACAATAAAAAAAGCTAGAGCAAAAAAATATGCCTTCACAATAAACTTTTTGTAACAACTTATCTAGTAATTTACATTTTTTCTACTTCAGAAATTCGTATCTTATTCTTCGGAACTTTAAGGTATAAATTAAACATTGCGGAATATTTTAATAAATTACTTTTGATATCAAAATTAATGAATAATTTTACTGTCACTCACGTTTACTGTTGTTATAATTTATTATGTTATGAAGATAATAATTGATGATTGGAGCGAAGGAATAAGATTTCTGAGATAAATTACGATGAAAAATGTCTATTAGAATTGTTTTACGGCTTCAGAGGGAAATAAAGTTATACGAAAGCAAGAAACAGTCTCCAATCGAGCATTTTATTGGCGCCTGTTATCGGCAACACTTCTTAAACCTTACAACAGTTTGGCACATTTTATTTTTTTTTCTGTTAACTTCAATGTGTACATTTCTGATTCATTTTAACTTTTACGGCTTTGCTTTTAGTTATTTTTCAAGGATTTCATTTTCTGGGCGGTTTTATTTGTGGGAATATAAATAATTGAATGCTAATTTTTTTAGTTAAAAAGTTAAAAGTATTGGAGGAATTGATCGTTTATTACAATCTGTTAAAAAAAAATACGCGTTTTATATCTAATCGATCGTTTCTCATACAATTCCAATATTGGTATTACACATGTTATATAATGGACTGAAATATGTTTCAGCTGGTGCTTTTCATGTATAATTTTTTTTCTACAAGAAAATAATAAAAATCCAAAAATTACATTATAAATAATAAGTGTCCCGTCGTATTCAAAACTAGAAAAATTACAGTTCAAAATAATATTTTTCTGAATTCAAATTTTGAATCCTAATTTTCAGAGCTTTCAATGTAAACATTACATTTTGTAATGTTATTTTTATACATTGAGATAAAAAAATACTATTACTCAATTAACAATTTCTTGGTTCAAGAAATTCGGTGACGATCAGATTATTTTATTATTATTAATTATTAATTTCTGGAGAAAAGAGCATCTATGTTTATCTTTGGACAATAGATAAAAAATAAAATAGATTTATTTAAATTAAGTAAAAAATATTTTATTCTATCAATTTAAAAAGTTCTTGAGCTAAGAAGATATATTCTTGAAAATTTTCAAGAACATGAATTCTTGTATCAAGAAAATTTTCTTAATAAAAGTATTTTTTTTCTCAGTGTAAAATTTATAATTATTACAATCTAAAGCTGTAATTTTTCTAGTTTTCATCACGGAGCGCCATGTTACATTATTTTTCTATTTTACTTTTTTCCATGTAGAAACTTTTTTCTCTGCACATTCTAAATCTAGTCCTCAAGTCCAATAAGTATATTGAAAAATAACATTAAACATAAAAAACACTCGTAAAACTTACACGTCTCCTTGCTATTTGTTGATCAAATCGATGCCTACAACCGATAAGACACTCCCATATTCCAGCGCCAGTTCTGCTATTTTTGTACTGGCTATCAGTACTCCCATTTTGATATTCACTTTGATAATCCTCTTCAGCAAATTGATAAACGTATCCACAATCATCTGGGCTTCCGAGCAACGCTGTTGCCGATAGTTGATGACTCCCCGAACTCCTGAAAAGTTTATTATCAAAAGAATATATTATAATCGATCAGTGATTAATGATTCACGATCGTTAGATGTAACACTGTTGTACTAGAAAAAGGGAGCATGAAAAATTGTGTAAAAAACAATATCCTAATGGGAAAACAAGGTTAATGGTTTAAATAAATCGATTACATGGCTGTGTTAGTTTTCTGCTTCTGACGAGAGAGGAATGTCTTGTAACGTGATTCTATTGACCATAAACCGACGTACAACTTGCGGAAAACCCTCAACACTAATGTATATATTGTATTAGTGTAGTATTGTGGGAAAAAGAGACAGAAGTGAGATATTGGTGAGAATAGAAAGGGATGGAATGCTTTGAGATTTAACACAATGCGATGGATATTCACTGACATACCCGGCAAGTCTGTACTACCATTGAGCTCTTTGCATTGAAAATTATCACTACTTGCCACAATGTGGCTTGTTTCACACGGCCCGATTCTCTGGATGACTAGTTCTCTAAATCGGGCTTACTGTCTGCACTTATGCACCTCAATTTAGTGGAACGATTGTCTGTTTCATTATTTAATGTACATTGTTTTTGGTTTCATAATTGCGATTTAAAAATACAAAAAAATCTGCTTAAAGAAGCAATGAGGGCAATATTAATTTAAAATATTTATTATTTGGATATTTTTGGAACCAAGAAAATATACTTTAATTCATTTTTTCAAAAGTTATGTGCAATTTACGTTGTTTAAAAATTATTTTAATATTTTTAAAATCATTACAAAAAAAAAAAAAAGCAAGCTTTTAAATCGAGTTTACTTAATGGGTAACAAAAAAAGAATTTTTTTATTGTATTTTTGATTAAAAAAGAAAAACATCCCCCTTAAAATATCAGGATACATTTATTAAATCGACTATATATTTAATCTTTAAATTTATGTAAAGAACAAAAATTCCGTAAAAAATTTTATTTAAATATTACATTTTTTGGAAGTTTTACATGTTTTTTTTATTTTCACTCACTTCTAAAGTGTCTGAAAACAGTTTTAGTATAAAAGTATGAAAAGAAACTTTTTTCTTTTCAAGTCTCATAAAAAAAAAAAAAAAATAAAAAAACCAGAAAATAAATTGACAAACATAAAAGGCATAAAAGTGTCATGTAATGTCTTAATTTAAAAGTTTGACAAATTCTACAGCAAAAAAAATTCGGTTAAATTCCGGTTGTCTCTTATAGCCGAAGACATCTTGTTCACCACGTAAGTTTTTGCAAAAAAACATGTCCGTACAACTATATAAATATTTCTATGAATGAGATAAGGATTGTTGGCCGATGTCCCAGAGACCGAGTTTTCAAACTCGTGGCATCGGGTATTCCGGACACGGGGATGGAATCACGCTCGAGCCTCTTCTCTTTCTTTAATTCCGTCTTTCTCAAGCCTCTGCAATGCGACTACTGCAGCTTCACAAATATTTAATAAACGATATTACTGTTAGTGGTTTTACAACTAAAATCGCCCAGGAGTCTCCTAGTTACCTAGCCATTAACCAAATACGTCGGTAGAACCGAAGAATTTCACAACACCGAAAAATTTCAAAACATAAAAAGTATATTTAAAATTTAATCAAAACTTCTGTTTTGGCGTTGATTACTCAGTTGTTCTAAGAAGATGAACACTATAAATTTTTGATACATGGTGGGACTAAGGCTTCATATAAGTTCGGAGTTTATACAACTATCGCTATGCTACCGAAGTAATTTTGTAGGATCCTTGTAGAGGATGTGAAGACGATTCGATTGGTACATAACAATCATTAGAAATAAATTTATCTTGCTGTTAAATCAAGAAGATTAAAATGTCTTCAAAATTATACACTCTATTTAAGAACATTTTTTTTTCGGTGTATGCACGGAAAAAAACAAATAGTAAATGCAACATAATGCAGTCTTGGTAAATGAACATGATGAAATCATGTTGCAGCCACATGATTTGTCATGTTTCGGCTACATGACAATCATGTTGCGGTAGCATGAGAAAATCATGTGGCAGCAACATGATTTTCCTGGAGCGTTAATAGCATAAAATTAAGCTGCAACAGCTAAATATTTATGCTTGAGAAACATTATTGTATATAATTTGAATAAACAAAGATATCGTTCACAAATTGTATAATTCGATAATTTACTCTTATTTTCATCTGCAATATTATAAATCCTAAAGAACCTAGTTACTTTATAATAAATAATGTTTCTCAAGCATAAATATTCAGTTGTTGCAGCTTAATTTTATGCTATTAACGCCCCAGGAAAATCATGTTGCTGCCACATAATTTTTCTCATGCTACCGGAACATGATTGTCATGTAACCAAAACATGACAAATCGTGTTGCTGCCACATGATTTTCTCATGCTACCGCAACATGATTGCCATGTTGCCGAAACATGGCAAATCATGTGGCTACAACATGATTTCATCATGTTAATTTACCAAGACTGCATCATGTTGTATTTACTATTTATTTTTTTCCGTGTGCATACTTATGCAAGTATTGCCTTCATATCTATCTGCAGTTTCCGGAGCAGATTGGGGACAGCTGGCTGCGAAAGTTAGAATGCAAGATTTGCTTACAAGTTGCATGCCGATTGACAGAACCTATAGAATTTCCCGTTTTATCAATGAAATATGGTTAAGTTAAGTTAAACTCAACTAGAACGCTAAGCACTGATGACTATTTGTATGCAGACTAATAGCGAATTCTGGCTTTCCAACTTTTGCAGTCAGATTGCCACAAATCTAAGAGCAATATCTGAACAGTCTGTACTGGATTTGCCAACTCGTCTTCTTTTAAAATATTTCTCTCAGATTAAATAATTTTTTAGTTGCAATGAAACAAATAAGTATTTTTTCAAAATTAAAAAAAAAAGATTGATCTTTTTAATTATAAAAAATAAATAACAAAAACTTGTAAATTAAACTAGAAGCAAGGCTCTTTTTTGAAAGGATTTAAAATTAATCTGATATTATAATTTAAGTCCTTGTGTTATAATGTAAGAAGAGAAGATTAATTAACAGTTTAGTTGAAAGTTGATACAAACCCAAGGTAATGCTTGGACGCGACAGACTCCCATGACATGGCTGTATCTCTTCTGTTGTTGCTCCACTCCAACTCGTTCGTTTCCTCTTCTCCTGTTGTATCCCAGCTCCAGACTCATCTCTCCCTAGTGTCATTATCTCTAACACCACCACCGCACTTGCATGCCACGCTTAAACAATACATGCCAACTTCACTTGTAACTTAACACCCGCTACCACAATTTTATACTTTATCTATCTATTAAATTACGCCACACTTCAATTCACATTTGTTACTCTCAAAAACTTGTTATTATTATTTTTAACTTTAACTACAATTATTTTTATGTAAAAAAATATTACGATAATTTTTTAATATAAAATATAAAATATTTCAATCGCTGTTTACGTGTTCTGTCTATTATTTTTCAAATTTTTTCAAATTTATCCAGGCAATCCACGAGTTCTTGAAGCCATCTTGATCTATGATTCATTTAAAATTTTTATCTGAAACAATTTAAAAATATACAATTTAAAGTACCTAACTTTAAATTTTGTTTAATTTTTTTTAAAGAATATTATTATTGTTATTTTGTTTTAAAATTTTGCGACCTAGTTACCAAAGAATTGAATAATCGTGACAAAAATTTGATAAGTAAAGTTTTTCCTGGGAAATATATTAAACGCATATAAATTCACTCGTTTGAAAGGAAAACCACAAAAAAAAAAAACCAAAAAAATTAAACAGATCAGTTTTCGGTCAATAAAAACATTTTAGGAATTCCAATTAATTTTATTGGAAATAAAATATTCAACGCGTATCAAATAAAAAATACGAAAGTATAAAAAAATCCAAAGCTCATCGATGAATAAAGAATAAAGATTATTCCACGGTAAAAGAGATAAAGTATAGCTAAAGGTGAATTTAATGTAAAACTGGCGTAAAGTAAGATCTCGGAAAAAAATAAGGCCTCTTTAAGTCAAGAGAGAGGGATGAACCAAATCAGAGTAGAGGGAATATTTAAATAAATGTCAAAATTTTTAATTTTCAATTATAAATGACTCTAAAAATTTATTCTTTATTCTGGAGATTTTTTTTTGACGATATAATGAACATACGTTACGAAAAATTCATTGATCACAACACTGGATAGAAAAACTATTTCAATTTATTTATTTCTTTGAGATAGATCTAACAGCCAAGGGCCAGTAACAAGGTCACTTAATTTTACCTCAGAAAAATAATTAATAAATTTTTAAATTATTGTACATAAATTTATAGTTACAAAATAGTTTGAACAATTAAATACAATGATTTTTGATTTAATTAATATTAATATTAATAGTTAATTCAATTTGCTTTGCAATCAGTAACTTATATTAAATAATTAATTAATGAGAAATATTTTAATTTAAAAAAATTAATTTAAACAATAAGAGCATCTTAAGTAAAAGTTTTAAGCTAAGTAATTATTTTTGGTTCAAATAAATTTTATTTTTATATGCTTTTATATACATTTTTTGTTGTTAAAAAATGTAGAATATACATATGGATTTAACTCTTGCAAAGTAAGATGAAAATATTCCATTCTGCAACGTGCAAACAATGTAAATAATGTATTTAATATTTCTGTTGCGAGAAATCATTGAAAAAGTTAAGGCTTAAATAGAGTGGAGTCTGTTCTTTGTTTGTGATGAAGCGTGCAGGCAATGTAATGATAGTCGTGAAAGTTACGCACACAGTTGAATATGTAAACACCTTTAGCTAGGTAGCGCAAGAAGATAATAATTGTTTACTGCTTTATAAACCGTACAATATACAATAGACATTATTCTGTCACTAACAAGAGTGTGTTGTATATTGTAGGTTTATTTTCATCATCCCTATAAACTTTTGCGCGTACAGTAGCTGAACTCGACTGTTGCGGTACGAATCACGTTCTACCTCATTACGGGGTGTACTAAACTTTAATTGCAATGCTTGTTATCATATGTTTTATTTTATTTTCTCTTCTCTTTTAACCATTTTTCTCTTTCTCTTTATGCCAATAAACTATTTGGGTCTTTTTTATTTGTCCACAGGCATCTTAAGCTCTAGTTTCTTTGTTGAGCGGCATTTTCTCACGCGTTTCTTTACATTTAAAAACAAAAAAGATGCTACCAGCCCCGAGGAGTTTCCGTCTTATCTTTATGTTATAAGACGACGTAATCATCGCCTCAGCTTGAATACATTTATCCGATTTTACTTTTTTAATGAAATTTTATTACACTTAGAACGAATCATTATTAAAGTTAGAAATTAATTTTATTTCGAATAAATTTAAAAGATATTATATTATAAGCGCTGTTAGTTAAATGGGAAATATGCTTCTAGTTTTGCGTTAAGCTTATATAATTCTGCGAGAAAATGAAGGTTTAAATTAAATGATAAAGCTTGGGCAGAAGATGATATTTTTATTAAATTCAAAAAAATTTGAAAAATAAAATAGGAAATTTTCGCTTGTTATATAATTTGATATTAAAACTTTTTAATAAATTATATTTATTTAAAATTGACTGCCCAATTTTAAAATACAGTAACTGCAAAATTTTTTTTAATATTGCTGCATTTTTTATAGCTTTTAGACCTTAATTTCAAGTACTTTTTCTTAAAAATATTTATATTCAAGTATTTTCTATTCATGAATCAAATTTTTTATCAATTTGGCAAACTTTTTTTTTAATAAGAAAAATTTGAAAAATATTTCTGAATGTTAGTTACTGTGTTTTAAAATTGGGCAGCCGAAAAGTAATAATAACTTTAATAAAATTAATAAATAGATTTTCAATTTTTCTAATTGCTCGGAAAATGTTTGCTTAAATTTTTATCAAGTTAAAATCAATAAAAAAAATTTATTTCAAAGAAAATCTTGACACTTTTGTCATTTTAAAAAGTTTAATTATAAAATCAGAACAATTTTCTTTATTTTTTAATGGTAAAAATTAATTTTTAGATTTATTTTTTACGTTTTCAAAAATAATTGTTTTTAAAAAATATCAAATTCATAATTTTAAATCAAATATTATTTTGTCTCAGCCTGCTTATAATTAATGCAAAAAAGTCTCATATTTTTAATTTATTTTGTATTATACCCGAGACAATAGTAAAAAAAATAAGTAATAATTTATACTTCTAATAAAAACAAAGGTTGTTAGTTGTAAAAATTCATAACTTTTCCGTAAAGAAAGAAAATAAAATTTACGTTAAAAAAAACTATGCAAATATTCTGGAAAAAAAAAAAAAAAAAAACATTAAAATTCATGCATATAGATGATAAACTAAAATAACAATTCCCAAAAGACAAATATTTCAGCAATATATAATAAAATAAAAATAAAAAAATGATAAACTGGTCGTTGTTTTTTTATTTAAAAATACCGAAAGAATATAAATAATAAATAAAAATTCCGCTGGCTTGATGAATTAATTTATTGTCTCTTGATTTTTCATCCCCCGGTTATTTTTATTCATAACAGTATCCGTTGAGAAAAAAAATAAGAGTAGATAGAACGTGTGAAGAATAAAAGTGTAATAATAATTTCCATGACGTATTGCAATAAAACAGTTATTATAAAATTGCAGTAAACGAATGTTAATTCCACATTTACATAAAGCGACTTTGTTTGATCCAGAAAAATGTGCATTAAGGTCCTTTGAAATTCACTGGAGCCGTTATACACCAACTCATAGCAATTTAACATCTGTTTAAAAATTCATGAGGCTAAAATTGTGCTCTTACTACCTACGACTCTTTATAATGTACAGATATATTTATGTGACCGCAGAAAAAATCTTTAAAACTTTTTAAAACTGAGAAGTTAAATCGAAGCTTTGAAATTAAACGTCGAAAAACTTTAACGGTAATGCCGACTGAGTTTGAGATGAAAAGAAAAAATATAAAACTAAGACGCTGAATCTGGGTGAATTTCACGAGGAACTTTGAAAAGAAGAATAATATTTAGAGTCGAGTAGAAAAAAAAATAAAGTTTTTCTTTAATAATTAAGTTAGACAACGTTGAGGTTTTTATTGAATAAACACTGAATTATAAAAGAAAACTAGCAACCGTGCAGTCACTATGTGACTGCCGTTACTTGTAAACTATAAATAAGTAAAATTTTGCTTTTTTAAATAATTACTTTTGTTGAATTGCACTGTACTATCTTAAATATTGATGTTTTTAAAGATATAAGCTCATATTGGTGGTACCCTCATCAAGAGCTTTCATTTGAGTACCCACATGCATTTTTGATATATTTTTCATATGTACATATATGTAATAATATGTACATATATGTATAATATATATAAATATATGAAAAATTGATGTGGGTACTCAAATGAAAGGTCTTAATGAGTGTAATGTCGGGGTGAGCTTATATCTTTAAAAATATCATTAGTTGAGAAAATAGTAATGTCAGTTCTTAAGTATTGACATTTCAAAAGATATAAGCTCATCTTGATATTACACTCATCAAGAGCTTTTATTTGAGTACCTACATGCATTTTTATATATTTTTCATATATACATATATGTAATATATATAAATATATG